CATAGTGCTCCCTGCAGGAAAGCAGAGTACAGCCATGTGGGGCTTCAGCCTCCAAGCCTGTATCTCTTGTCAGCACCCCAGGAGTGAGACAAGGCTGTGGATGCTTTAGTGGAAACCGCAAGGCAGACATCGGAGGTCATATCAAATTCTTAGAAAACGCACTCAGGGAAGCCAAACATCGATAATTATCTTTTTTGGGTGTTTTTGTTTTGTTTATTTATGGTTTGCTTCTCCAGTTGTAGGTAATCTCATCTGGGGCACTTTGGGCAGTCTCTGCCTTCTGGATGGTACCAGGAATTAGGGTGGGGGTTTGACTCATTCTTTTTTTTGGTTGGTGATAGGGAAATATTTTGTCTATGAGGAGGTCAAAACGAATACAAAAGTGATGATGTTAGACTACTGTGGCTTTTAGTTATCCAAGCAAACTCTACTCTGCTGTCCCCAGCCCCTCAACATTGATAAGTCATTGGCCCAGATTACGGAGTCACTTGGCTTTCGATTTTTTTAATGCCTACAAATTTCCATATGAATCCGCTGAAGTCAGGGTGGGTAGAGCAGGTAGCAACTGGATGTCAGCTTGATATTGTCAGTTGTGGGAAGCGTGGGTGAAGGTAAACCCCTCGGAGGACTGAGGAGAAATGGACTTCGCTTTAACACTGTGCAGCGCTCCCTGAGGCCCGCAGCGGAGAGTGTGGTAATGGAAGGAGTTTTCTATTTGTGTAGTACGTCTTGCTTCCCTTCCAAGCACTGTAGCATCTCGGTAGTCATCTGATTGGTAAAGATAGCTGAGGAGCCAAAAGGGATGTGCTTGAGTGAATCCCCTGGTTCCTACACCCTGAGGAGAGACAACATGTCTTCTGGAGGCGAGCAGTGACCTTCCTTATGTGCCCAATCCTTCCCTGTGTCCCCAAATTCTCCACTTCCTCACCCCAGCAGTCCTGCCCACCCGTCCCTGGGACCTAGGCTGTCTGCTGCCCTCCTCGGTGCATAAAAAGAAAGTCGGCAAGAGCCGCCAGGGCGGAAGTTCATACTTCCACCTACTTTGTGCAAGTACGAGCTCCTGGCACCTGCAGTTCCAAAGTCTGGGCACCAACCTGTCCTTCAAGAGGGCGCCTGCCTCTGCCAGGCAGCCCCCGGGACGAGGATGTTCCCGTAACCAGGCAGACAAGTCAGCGTTTGTGAACACAATCCTGATGTTGTTCGGAGGTTTTGTTTGCCAGAAACCTCCCTGTGCGCTGCTCTTTCATCCAGAGATCAAAGGATCTTTTACTTTGTGTCTTTTAAGCGCGTTTGGGAGCCGAGGCAAGGTGCCTCCTCAGAGAGCTGTTGCGTCACGTGGGCGAGAACAGGTTGACATCGCACAGGAGGACCTCCCCTGATCTAGCCTGTGACTAAACGGCCGCGGGAAGTGGCCTGTGTGCATTTTTCAGCTGTCATCCCATTTGGAAGCTGCCCTGCCTCGGGTCCCATTCTGTGGTTGTAACCCAAGGAGCCATCCCGGGGCTCACCCGCAGCCACGAGGATGTGCACCATCATCTAGGGATCCTCAGGGCTTCCCCGGACACTGTCCCTGGTTTCATACACATCTGTGGGGCCCTTGAGGTGACACATGAGTCCAGGTAGGACCAGCGTCCTTTACAGAGATATTCCCTGAGCTGCTGTGAGAACTTGGCGACTCAGACAGGCTGGTGACTCTGTGCTAAATTCAGTCCAACAGTCATCAGTAGATTCTTGGGAACATGTGTACTGTATTTGATGTCCTTTCTACCAGAACCAAGCGAAGAAACTCTGTGTTTGTCACGGGCAGGGCCTGGTCCGATTGGGAGCTGGGAGGGCAGCACTGGGACGCTGGGCCTGTCTGCGACCCCGCGTTGAGGCTCCACAAGCTTCCGCGGAGCAGGGGAGGTCGGCCTGGAGAAGACTGGGGGAGACGCAGAGGAAAGCTTCTAAGCCAAGTGGGTGCCGCGCCCTTGAGGTTGGCGAGGGTGGGAATCAGCTTTTTTAGTTTTCACTTGTCGGCCTGGGTTTGGGTCTGGGCTTCCGAGGCATCCCCGGAAAGCTGAGTGCCCCTGCGGCCGGCGTGGGGCCGTCTCTAAGGCTGAGGAGCTGCAGTGACGGTCCCCATCCCCAGAGCGCCCTCTCAGCTTTGCAGCCAGGGGCCCCTCCCAGGCGGGGGCCCCCACCTCGCTTCCAGTCCACACTCTGCGGTGCCCTGATCTTGCCTCCGTCCCCAGCAGCCTCCAAATCAGTTTGCCAGAACCATCAGCAGGGGTGCCAGGCGAGGCGCACGGGAGGCTGCTTTTCTGACAGCCTGGCGCTGTTGGAGCAGACGTGTCCCTTTGGGAGAGGTGGGGCGCCGACCCCACCAGCCACGTGCGTGTGCTTCCGTCTGAGACGCAGCTCGTCTGGCTCAGAGGCTTCCTGTGTGAGCCCCCCGCCCGGCGGGCAGGTGCCCCTCCCTCCTCAGGGCCCGGAGCAGCCCAGGTGTGGGGTCTCGCAGACACTGCGTGTGGTTTTCAAGCCTGTCCCTTTTCTACCCCCTCATTTTAGAAGGTGCTGGACGAATGCCAGAACCAGCGGGCCTGCCACCTCTTGGTCAATAGCCGTGTTTTTGGACCTGACCTTTGTCCAGGAAGCAGTAAATACCTCCTGGTCTCCTTTAAATGCCAACCTAGTAAGTAACTTCCGAGGGGGACAACGGGGGAGTGTGTGGTGTGGGCGCCCCGTTTCATTCACACCTTGGACAAAAATTCTCTGCTAGTTGGCATTCGTTTAACTTTGCAGCTCTTGTTAATAGGAATGTTGGGGCTCATCCCATTTGGCCTTTTAGTTCGTGTGTATTTCTGTGTGTGTGCACGCTTACCTGTGTGTGTTCTTGCAAATCCCTGAATTTCTAAAAATTCTCCCTAATATGTAAAACTCAGTTGTACTGATGCCAAAGATGTCGGGGCATCAGGGTGGCAGGAGACTGCAGCTGCTCATCCCCAATGTGAGGACCCTGTCCTCCTTTTGAGGAAGGCGTGTTGTGAGGGTCCCCACCAGCTGAAGGGCAACTTGCTCCTCCAAGGGGGGCGGTGGCACAGCTCCCAGCCCAGCTCATGGTTCCAGATCTTTACAGACCAGCCCCTTCCCACTTTTGTCTTTGTTGGGGGCTCCTGAAACAGCGTCCTTTCCCAAGGAGAAAGAAAGAGGAAGAAAGAGGAAGAGGAATTGGCTGGAGCAACCTCTTCTGTCTGACTCTTGCACTTTTGTTCACTGACTTTCGCCATTTCTAACACATATGGGTTTTGTGGTTAACCCACTGCAGGCCAGAAACGGTTGCTCTTCAGGGAGTAGGTCACACCTCCAGGCACGGAGGGTCAGCCTGAGACAAGCCGTAGGTAATTACAGTTTCCAAGTAATACTTGAAAAACTTACTGAGAAGACAGTAGTGTTACAGCAACAACATTGAGCTAAACATAAAGGATGATATTTTAAAAATTCTGCACGGCCACTCCAATGTAATGGTCCTCATTTTTTTTTTTTTTTTGCATTATGTTCTCTGTTGGTTTCTGCTTCGGGAGCCCAGCATCTCCCAAGACCCTGGGTGGCCTGGGTTCCTGTGGTGGGTGAGGCGTCGGCCACGCTCATGCAATGGTCTCGGGCACACCTCTGTGGAGAAAACCCTGGATCCTTTAGGCAAACATCCAGGCTTCTGTCTCAAACCCTTACCTCAGACCCACGCGGTGGCTCAGCCCCCATGTTGTGCATTCAGACACACTCAGACTCACTCATATTCAGACGTACACCCACATACACCTATCAGACACTCAGTGCACATGCACAGACACTCACACATGCACACTGTCACACCCACATACACTGTTACACACAGATGCACTGTCACACACATAGTCACACACGTAGTCACACACACACACACACTTGCAAGTTCACACAATCACAGACTCCCACAAGCTGGCTCAAACTTTGCAGAACAGCCTAACTCCCTCCCCTCCCCTCTAGGAATTCTCACTAAGTCCTGCCTCCCTCAGTAGACTCAGGAAGATCACTTCCAGATGCCCATGCTCTTAGTGGCATCCTTCCACTGCTGACTCTCAAAAGTGACCACACCCTGCCCTGCCTTTGGCCACGCCCTTGACTGCCTTAGCTTTGCCTTCTTTTTCTCTTCCACCTGTTTATTGGGATATTCTCTCATGCTTTCTATGTGTTAGAAACCGTTCACAATAAAAAATTGAGCAAGACCAGCCTCTCGAAGAAGTGAAAGGCCTTTGTGAATTAGCAGAACCCCAGATAAGCCAGTGCTGGGAAACAGCCTTGTTTGTACGGTGGGCAGTTAAGTCTGTTTGCTAATCTCATCGTAGCAAACACTTATTAAGCACCTGCTATGCACAGGTGTGGCCAGGTGTTGGCTCTGAAGAGAACTCACATCTCACAAAGGATTCCTGGATGGTGGTTCTGTCTTGGGTGGTTTCCAACGTCCTTTCATCCAGTTAGCATTTACTCAGAGCTCCACATAGCTGGTTGCTTCTCAACCTTTAGACTCTAGGCCAAGTATCACCTTTCTCCAGAAAAATCATAACTGTCCAAAAAACATCTGAAGAAGACCCCTGTGCAAGAAGCTCAGAGGAGGACTTGACCTTGGCAGGAGTTCAGGGAAGACTTTCCTGGCAAGTGGTGTTGAACTCCTGGGGTGGGGTCAGGGCACAGGAAGACCACTCCTTACAGAAGCTTGTGACTGGAGGGTGCAGGGGGCTGGAGGGGGCAAAAGGAGCACCAGGCAGAGGCTGGAGCAGGACGCAGGGCCCTGACGGCCAGGGAAGGAGGTAGAGTCTCTCTCGAGGGCAGCATTTCTGCAGGGTGGGTCCTCAGTGGGGTTGGGACCCCCTCTGGCTGCCCCGTGTGTACAAATGAAAGGGGCAGAGCCTTTATATTTTAGTCGATTTTAGTTGATTTGAGCTACTGTAACAAAATGCCATTAATTAGGTGGCTTATAATCAACAGAAATGTATTTCTCTCAGTTCTGGAGGCTAAGAAGGCCAGGGTCAAGGTGCCAGCAGATTAGGTATCTGCCAAGGGGGCTGCTTCCTCACAGACAGCTGTCCTGCTTCCTGTAACCTCGCTAGGCGGAGGGAGGAGGAATCTCTGTGGGTTCTCTTTTATAAGGGCACTAATCCCATTCGTGAGGGCCCCACCCTCATGACCTAAGCACTTCCCAAAGGCCCCACCTCCTGACAGCACCACGTGGGCATTAGGATTTCAGCATATGCATTTTAGGGGAACACGAACATTCAGACCAGAGCACCTCGTGTGACCTAGACATTGGTGACCTGAGGCACTGCAGCTGGGGAGGCAGCTCCTTTTGCTGCTGTGAGAAAGAGGTGGAAGGGAGGTGGTCCCCACACCTTCCTGCCTCTTTTTCTGCAGCCTTTCTCATTTCTGGCAGCTCTTCTCCATGGTCCCAGGTCCAGCCCCTGCATAATAACACTCTGATTGTCCAGAGGCTCCCCTGATGCACCCAGGAGTGCATGAAGCCAGCTGTTAACACAGGAGCCAGTGGTACCCATCTCTTCCCAGCCTTGCCCGTGTACAGCAAAATCTGCCACGATGGCAGTATTTACGCCAGGGGGATCGATCGGCAAAGGCTACAAAACAGGGCTCGTTTATGTGTTTACTTTTGGAGAATATTTTACCAGGAATCCTTACTAGAACCTTCTTTTCCCGTTTCACCTCCTCCCTAAAGTTCATCACCTCCTTCCTGAATCTCATCCCCTCAGAGAATTTTGGTTCCAGTGAGTCTTTGATTTAGGCAGCTCTGGGTTCATATTTCTGTCTCCTGTGTAGCTGCTGTGTGACCTTTGGCAGGGGAGGGAAACTTTCTGAGGCCCCCTAACTCAATTGAAAAATGAAGACAAAGTACCTTCTGCATAGAGTCGTTGCAAAGACTGTGAAAATACAGTGCTGTATGTAAAATGCTTAGCACAGGGCCTGGCATAGAGTTGAGCTCAGTAATTGGTAGCTCTTCTTCCAAGAGGTAGGTTAAAGTAATTCTTGCTAAAGATGTGAATGACTGAAAGGCAGCGATGTACCATTGGTTGGGGGTGAGGGGGTGTGTTCTGCCCTGGGTGTCGGTCATAGTAGGGTGCACTGTCTGTTGAGAATTTAAGAACACAATAAAAGGGACTAAATATCTGTTTGCACGTGACCATTGCTGTGCGCTGCCAGCTGTAAATAACGTCAGTGATAACATATCCCCATCAAGGCAGATCCTCCCCTTGCCCGTCTTTGGAAGGCCCCGGCTGCTGTGTGTATGTGTCTATGTGTTATTAAGGAGTCACTCACATCGCCCTCTAATTGGGAGGGAGAATTGGTTGCTGTCGTCCCTTAAGCAGAGTCATGGTTCTACCTTCATCCAGACTCCTGTCGCTCTCCCCATCCAAACCCATGGGGATGTTGGTGACCCGTTTCCGGAAGGTAGCCCACACATTTTCTAATCTGAGGCCATTTAGCACTCTAACTCAGTTCTTCTCTTCTTCTTTTTTTATGTTTTTAATTTTTGTTGTAGGGGATGTAATTGGGTTTATTTATTGATCTTTTTAATGGAGGTGCTGGGGGTTGAACCCAGGACCTCATGCATGCTAGGCACACACTCTACCACCGACCTATACCCTCCCGCCTCTAACCCTGATCTAAAACAGATTCTAATTCTCTAAGAAAAGCAGCAATTATGTTAGTAGTCACTTTGCTTTTAGAACCCAGAAATGTCACTTTTAGGTGACAGTGAATTGATACATTCCCAAGGAACGAAGTGATTCCACACCATACAAAGGGAACTCCAAGCACGTCATGTGACACTCACAGGCCCTTCCATTCCAGGAGATATTTGCCCATAATTGGGGGACAGCGATCGCTGGAAGCCTTACTTGAGGGTACTGTGTTACTCCGGGTGAGTTTGGCTGGTACTGAGGCCACGTTTCATTGAATACATCTTAATGAATCAGAGAGATGGTGGCTACTAAATGCATTTCATGACATGCCTTAAAAAAACTCTTCTAATTTTAAAAAATTCTAATAAGACAGAGAGAGAGAGAGAAAAGGAAAGAAAGAAACCATTCCTGTTAACAAGTTTCCAGCTGACTGAGATAAGGCTTGGCTTTTGTCTTCCCTCCTCCTTTTTGGCAAGTTCTGCCGATGGCAGGCATTCTCTGCATTTTTGGTATTCTTCTCTTTGGAAGGGTGCGTGAGCTCTTTTGGTGTGTCTACCCATTGCCCTCTGTTCTGCATCAAAGGCCCTTGTTCACCCCGGACCTTTAAAGTCAGGCAATATTTCGGTGTTGGTGAGATTTAGTGTTTACTCATCAAAAGCACCGAAAAACTCATGCCAGTGCGGATATGACTCACCGAAATCAAACCCTCCAAAGTCAAGGTCAGACTCAGTGTTCTTTTTATTTAGAAAAAGAAAACAGAACTTTTCTTGGCTCTAAGTTTAAACTGAGATATGAAGATTCCAGTTAGCGGGTAAAGGGCATCCTACACACTCGCTTAGTCACCTCCTAACTCTTCCCTCCTCTGATGGTTCCTCAGGTGTGCTCAGATACTAGAGGGGATGGGGATTTTGTGAGCATCTGTAAGCCGGTGTCTGCTCTGCGCTTTTCATTAATGAATCTTCCAGTCATCTTGTTTTGAAGAATTGTTGCCAAGGTTTACCAGCACCGGAGCTGATGTTAATCTTGAGAGCCTAAACATTTTCCTTCGTGCAGTTCAAAAGTTTGGCCTCGCTGCTGCTTCTCTGTTGAGCAGAAAGGCATGGGATCTTACAAGTCACAGAAAGGTGGAATTTCTACCTGGAAATTATTTTCTTCTATATTTTAAGTTTGGGACTTGCGCATCATCCATGCCAGGGTACAAAGGTCCCACTGGCCCCCGTTGCCCTAATGTTCACCACTCCCTCCTTCTTCAGGGCCTTTTGGATTGGTTTGATTGCAACCCAGAGCAAGAAAAACATTTTACATTTAGATCCAACACGACACACGCACAACTGAAAAAAAGCTTTTACGCTGTGGAACAGTGTTTATCCTTACTTTGTGGGATGTACTTTGATGTTTTCCAAACTATTCTTTATTTTTCTTTTTAATTGCTGGTCACAACCCACTACATTGACTTCATGGCTTATTAATGGGCCTCAAGTGACAACTGGAAAACTTTGGTTTAAGGTGTATTTGGGTCTTGGGATCAGCCTGTACCTCCAATCCAGGAAAGAAAAGTGGAACAGAAACTTGAGTGAGTGAGAGACGTGAAAGACGGGGGTGTCGGGGTCACTGGGGGTGTGGACTAGTTCTCCTTCGTCTTGACAGACTCTTCCTCTCCATCCCAGGCAGCTCATGACACCGGGAGCAGCTCCTGGAATTTAGCTCTTGTTTGCTGTTGACTCCAATGCTTGTCTGGCTAAACGAGGTGCCCCTGGTTGCCATTTCAAAGTACGAAAAACTAGGATGGGGGTGAGCAAGTGGGGCTAGCATTGTTTTGATGCTTTTTCTCATAAACTTTGGGGTGGGAGAGGGTGCAAACACATGACCATGGTCTCCTCTATGTTTTGCTCTGCTTTGCTTTTGCCAAGTTCAAGAGAAGGGGGAGGCTAGAAAAAGATATTTATAACACGTAAGAGACAAAAGTTCAGAAGTTAGCATCCAGAATTTATGATTCCCTTCTCCAGACAATTTCTAAAACTCCAAAGCAAAGGATATGAAGAGGAGGTTCACAGAAGAGCCGTTCGGAGTAAACTCACTGATACACGTCAAGATTCTAGAACAGGCCTAGTTCAGAGGAAGTGCTCAATAAACATTAGCTATCGTTATTTTAAAAATATTTTTTGAGGGGGGAGGGTGTAGCTCAGTGGCAGAGTGCGTACCTAGCACGCACGATGTCCTGGGTTCAATCCCCAGCACCTCCATTAAATAAATAAATAAGTAAGTAAACAAACAAACCTAATTATTTCCCCCTTCAAAAATTAAAAAAATTTTTTTTTGTTGAAGTATAATTTACATAGCATAAAATGCACTTGTTTTAAGTGTACAATTCTCTAATTTTCAGTGAATGTGCTGAGTTGTGTGGCCACCACGACAGACCAGCTGTACAACATTTTCATCATCTCAAAAAATTCCCTTGTGTCCGTTTGCCATCCTCACACCATGACCCCAGCCCTCAGCCTCAGGAAACCACTGATCTTCGTTCTGTCTCTCTAGGTTGGCCTTTTCTGGATACTTTATAGAAATAGAATCATACGTTAGGTAGTCCTTTTGTGTCTGGAACGTTAACTATTATTACTTTAAAAATCAAGTCATTGTTAAGCACTTTAAGTCATTGAATGTTTTACGGTGCACTCTTTTTTTAAAAACCAATAAACTATATTTTCTTCAGGGTGCATTTATAATGTCATCTCTGTGTGATGTTACAAAGGGAAATTTTACTGCAGTACGTGGATTAAACAAATAAACAGACTTTTCCTAAATTCTCTGGGAACTGTGAGCTGGTTGGAATCAGCCTCCCCCAAGACACACGCCAGCCTGGGTGCCCGTTGCTCCTGCACCACCAGACTTGGGGCCGGCTCTTCACACTCCTCCAAAAAGGGGTTCTTCCTAGACCCTGTGCCTTGGTTTTTGTCCTGTCCAAGAAAAGGAAATACTATGCTTTTCTATCACTTTTCTCTCTCTTTGTAAATACACAAATGGGATGCTAGAACACTGTGAAGTTGGGTGGTGAGGTTTAGCTGGACTCCCTCCTGAAATTAATCTTCTATCAGGTAATTCCTGGTCTTTACCTGTATGGGTCTCAAGACAGCATTTGAGAAAAGGCTCCCTTCAATTAAGGAATGTGTGACCTCAAGTGGAGAGAGAGAAACTTCCTTTACGGCCACGCCTGACCCGGAACCTAGCCCGGCGAGGTCTTCATCCAGGCATCTCTCCTCCACCGTTTGCTCCTTAGTGTAACTCCTGGGGCTTTGCACTTGCCGACAGGTTGCTGCCCACCCTCTTCCTGCAAAGAGATTTCAGGGTCAGAGACCCCAAGGCAGGCAGGGCCATAGCGACTGTCTGCTTCTTGGGGTGCAGCCCCACAGCAGACGGGGCACGGCGGGATGTGGGAGGTGCTCACCGATTCCTTCTGCGAGAAGGTGATGGTGCCGCCAATTCTTGTTTCTGCTTCAGATGAATTAAAAAACAAAACCGTGTGTGAAGACCACGAGCTGAAACTGCACTGCCACGAATCCAAGTTTCTTAACATCTACTCTGCGACCTACGGCAGGAGGACCCAGGAGAGGGACGTCTGCTCCTCGGAAGCCGAGCGGCTCCCCCCCTTTGGTAGGTGTTTCTATGTGACTGTTACTAGGCGCTGTCTGAGTAGGTTAGGTCTCTGTCTCCCCAGGGAAGGAGGCCACGCAGTGGCTGGCGCCTGGATTAGAGGGAAGGTCAAGGGCAGGGGGAAACCACCCACCAGGGTCCTGCCTCTTTCTGCCCCACCTGCCTGAATCCATCTGTGGTTCATTTAGTCTACACCAAGGAGTCACTGAGCACCTGCTGTATGCAGGGCCCGTTCTAGGCATGGAAGAGTCATCAATGATCAACACAGAGTCTACCTGGAGCTGACCTTCCAGCAGTGGATGGGGAGGCAATGAGAAAACAGAAAACAAACAAGCCAACATGTTGTATTTCAGGTGTGGATAGGCGCTAAGGGAACCACATGCGGGGAAGGGAAGGAGGGGAGCCGGGTGGGTGCTGCAGGGAAGCTCCATTTTCTGGGGTGATGAGCATGCAGAGCAGAGGAGATGAGGCTGCAGACACCTGGGGAAGGTGTCCAGGTGGAAGGAAGGGCTTGTACAAGGCCCTGAGGCTGTGTCCAGGGTCAAGAAGAGCTCAACAAGTCATCCTACTTAGGAGTCTGAGCTTGGAGCTGAGAGGTGATGGCCAGGATATGCCTGGAAGTGCCAGCCTTCAAAGTCACTCTGTGTTATTATTAGTCAGGATTCTCCAGAGAAACAGAGCCAAGAGGAGATCTATAGATGGAAAGAGACTGGTTTTTAAAGAATTGACTGACACAGTTGTGGGGGCTGGCAAGTTTGAAATCTGCAGGGCAGACGGGCAGTCTGAAAACTCAGGTAAGAGTTGATGTTCAGTCTTGAATGTGAATTCCGCAGGACAGCAGGCTGGAAATCCTGGCAGAATTTTTGTGTTGCCAGCCTGGAAAAAAATTCCTTTTTTGGAAAACCTCAGTCTGGCCTCCCATAGATTGGTTGAAGTCCACCCATGTTGTGGAGGGTGATCTGCTTTACTCAAAGTCTGCTGATTGAATGTTACTCATATCTTAAAAATACTTACATGGTAGCATCTACACTGATGTTTGACCAAACCACTGGGCACATAGCCTCACCAGAATGACACAAGAGATTAACCGTGATCTTCCCCCACCCTATAACCAGAGAGAACAGACCCTGTTGTGAATGAAACCTCCCAAGAAAGTTTCACCTTATTCATCAAATCTAAAATGAGCTCTTTAATGTGTTAAATTGCTCCAATGGAACGCATGTGAAATTAAACGTTAATTTTAAAAAGACATTCATGTATAAGTATTATCTTGGCTCTGGAAAAAAACAGAAAAGAACATAAAGTGCCCTATCTACACAGTCAAACTCTCAGGCAAACATGATTCTCAAGGAACTTGTGCCACGTGTATCCCCAGGCCCCTCACCCAGTGTTCGGGAGGAAAGGTCCTTCTGTCTGGGCATCCAGTCACTCTTAATTAGCTTCTGTCTTAACAGGCTTGGCTGCCACATGGGCAGAGAGACACTTGTGAGGGTGGCTCCTGCTGTCTGTCCCTGCCCCGTGCCCCAGCAAGTGACCCGTTGGTTTGGAAACTCCATTCTCCCTCTCATATAAATTTCCATGTGTTCAGAGTGTCTCCACCCCCTCCGCTCTTGTTCCTGCTACTCCATTAGGTCAAGGGACCATTGCCTGGCCATCACAGGAGTCCCTCCAGCCCTAGGCATGGTTTTTCCCCAGGGTGGCCGGAGGCAGCCTTCTAACAAGCAAATCTGATCTCCGCCTTTCTGAACATGCTGCTAGGGCTCGCTGAATTATCTGGTTTGCTTAGCTGGACAAGGTAATCTGACTGCTTTCTACAAAAAGGAACTCTAATTCTTAATATTGGTGTGGGCCCCCCATTTCTTGAGCCTTCTAAGTCTAGCTTAGCCACATGTGTTTTGGGAGACAGCAGTCAGTAACATCTATTTCAGCGGTTCTTTTGAGCAGAAGGTGGTCAACCAAGTAGGCAGATCTGTACACAGCTGAATGATTTACGTTCCGTGAATCGCTGCCTTAGGTTCCCGGGAAGTTGGATGGGAATTCGGTTTAAAGGGGAAAGTCATCAGCCAAAGGAAACGTTAGCAGACACCATGGCTAGAAGACAGGTTTCCGTAGAGAGTTCGAGGAATCCTCAGGTCAGCCAGCTGTTCGGATGCCATGAGTAAGCCTTGTTGACTCGAGGAAGGTCTGTGAATGGAAGACTGCCCTTGGCTTTGCTGTTCAGTTTTGAAAGCTTGAGCCCTGGCCAAGTTGTAGGGCAGAAACAGCCTGCTTGCTCCTCTGCCCCTCCCCTCCCGCCCCTCACAGCTGAGAGCTTCTGCCCACTGCCCCCTGGGTACCTGTGAGGCAGAGGATCACATTCTCTTTTTTTTTTAATGGATCCAATTTTTATTCCAGATGACAACTTTTTGTCTCAGCTCTATTTAATGACTAATTCACCTTTTCTCCACTGATGTGAAATACCTTCTTTAGAGAGGATCACACTCTTCAGGGCATTTATGAACTGCTGCCCAAATGCCAGAGACCTGCTGGCCCTGAGCTCCGCAGTGAGAAGGGACTTCAAGGGAAAATGAAAGGGTCCTTGAGAATGCCTGTTCATCTCGCTATCTTGAGTACCCATCTATCTCACCGTTTTGAATCCCCATCCATCTTACCATCTTGAATGCCCGTTCATCTCAACCCCCAGCCTCACTCAGAAGCCTTGACTCTGTTCTTACCTCCCGGGTTAAGTAGAACTGTGCATGTGTGCAAAAATGTGAACCATTGGCTGCTTGCGTTGACACATTTTCTTGATCTAACCACGTGCTAAGAAATTGTCCACTCCTTGCCACAGGTAGACTGTACATGAGGGTTCCAAATTGCACTTGGCATATTTGCCCCACACAGTCATCAGTTTTCCTTCTTGTATACACACATCAATGTCACTCACTTTAAAAACACCCTCTTTTGATCCCGTCTCCCACCCACTGCCTCTGCAAGTCCTGTGGGCTCTCCCTGCACTTTACATCTTGAATCCAGCCTATTTGCTCCCAGCCCACTCTGAGCTTCTCTCACCTGGACCACCTGGGCTGCCTGCTGACTAGTCTCTGGCCTCCCAAACCCCCAGTTCCCTCCCCCCTACTTAGTCCCTTCTTCACTTAGCAGTCAGAGGGGTTTTATTTAAATCAAATGAGATCACGTCACCCCCACCCCACTTAAAGCCCTCCACTCTGCCCACTGTAATTAGGATAAATCCACTCTCCCACCTGTGGTCCTGCCTCTCTCTCTCCTTCCTTCACTACCTCTAAGAACTCCACACTCATTTATACCCCAGGGCCTTTGCACAAGTTCTTCCTTTGCAATGTTCTCCCCCACATCTTTGCTTGGCCAGCGCCATCTTGTCATTCAAGAATCAACTCAGACATCATCTCAGAGAGGCTTTCCAGAGCACCCTTCCAGCACATTACCTTGTCCCTAACGTCCCTCTAGAGCTGTCCCCCCGAACCCCCACCGTCTGTGTGATTGTCTTTATGACATGGAAATAGGTACTTATGTGTATGTGGTCTCTCTCCCCGGGAGAAGGTGAGCACTGCAGAGGTGATGTCTGTCCCTTTCCTGCAACCAGAGCAGGGCCTGGCGCAGAGTAGGTGCCCATGTGAATTTGAGCCCCGTGAATGGATCAGAGCCCCGCCCAAGTGAGGCACCCTGCGAGCAGCTGGTTGCTGGCCTGGAATGTGGGCCTGGTGTCGTCACAGCTTCCAGCCTCTCATGAGAGGCTGGAAATCCAATTTTTTCTAATGTGAAAATTTCTGACTTTTAAAACACTGTGTGAGCCAAATAAAACATGCCTACAGGCTACATCCGGTCCCCAGGCCGCCAGTGTGTGCTCTCTGCTCTGTGTTCCTAGTTATTACTGCAGCTCGGCCTCAGGCTTTGAAGAAGGAGAAAGGGCTGTTTATTTTTAACCCTGGAGCCTGGCATGAGCTTGATAGGATGATTGCCTAAAAGCCAAGGGAGTTGGCCCCTGAAAGCCACCGTGAGCCTCTGAGGGGTGATATTTGTCCTTTTCCTCTTGTGTGTAAGCTAAAGTCTGGTGAAACCCCACATGCTCAGAGGTGCCCCGCTAGGAGCATACGTGGTGAAGCTCTCAGTACACAGTCAGGAAGCTGAGCGAAGTGTGGCTTCAGTCCTCGGGCACCAGGTGTGAGCGAACATTTCCAGTTCTTCCTAAAAGATGACTGTTAGCACGGTTGTTGTGGATCTGCACAAGTACCGTAATGATATTGACTAGAAATAAGAAAAAGATTCAGCCACAAACGTTACCCATCAAATGAAAAGATTTTTCTTTTCAAGAGCTCCTCCAAGTCCCAGTGTGTGAGCAGAGAACAGTGCTTACATAATGGCAAGTCTAAAGCAGATACATTTGAACTCTGTTCTCAAATTTAACTTCGTATCATGCATGGTTTTCCAAGAGGCCAACAAAATCCTAACAATGTCAATCACTCGCTTTAAAGGGATGCAGTGTATAATTTACTTAATCATTCCCTAGTGGCTAGATTATTTCATTGTTCCTGATTTTTTAAATTTAAAAAAATTTTTTAGTTTTATTGAAATTTGGTTGATTTACGTGTTAGTTTCTGACGTGCAGCATAGTGATTCAGTTATACATATATATACACATTCTTTTTCATATAGGTTATCACAAGATACTGAATGTAGTTCCCTGTGCTGTACATTAGGACCTTGTTGTTTATTTATTTTATAGATAGCAGTTTGTATCTGCTAATCCCAAACTCTTAATTTATCCCTCTCTCCCTCCCTCTTTCCCCTTTGGTAGCCATAAATTTGTTTTCTGTCTCTAAGTCTCTTTCTGCTTTGTAAATAAGCTCATTTGTATAATTTTTTTTAGATTTCACATATGAGTGATATCATATATTTGTCTTTCTCTGTCTGACTTGCTTCACTTAGTATAATAATACCTAGGTCCATCCATGTTACTGTAAATGGCCTTATTTCATTCCTTT